GGTTAGCTGAAGGCAATTTGGCAACAAAGGGCTCACCGTCCAACTGAACTTCGTTCGTACGGAAGTTGATGCTGGGGTTGTTCCTTGTAAGCCACGGCTTGCCAAGAATAGCGTCGTAGCGAGTCAGGGGATACACAGTAAAGTGCTGTTCCTCACTGAAGCCCCCGACTGTCACCCTTAGCGTGCGTGTGGAAATCTGCGGGACCTCGCTGGTCGAGCCGTCCGCCAATGTTACGCTCAGCACTGCTGAGCTTGCATCCGTGTCAAGATGATGCTTTCGAACAAAACTGTCTGCAATGAAGTCATGCGTCGAACCGGAATCTATCAGCATCACTGCACGGCGACCGCCGATCTTTCCCTGTATGCGCAGTAGGTCGTGTTCAGGTTCATTGCCGACGCTGACGTTGCTGACATGACACCTTTCTGCAACGGGACAATTTCCTACAGCTATGGGTGTCTCCGGCTCCGTAGGTTCCTGGAGAGCAACGTCTTCAACCTCCAGAGCTCCGAACCGGTTAGCGACTGGTACCGGCGTGGGCGCTTGGGTCGTCGCCAGTAAGCGCACCCCCTTTCTTACTGGCGACCAGCGTTTGGGTAGCGCTGTCCACCCTCAGTACAGTCTTTAGCGAGGTGGCCTGGCTTCCTGCAAGCAAAGCAGTGTCCCATTGCTCGCAGTTGGACACGCTCTTGGTCCGTCAGCTTGCGGAGGCCCTGACCACGGAAGCTGGGCACGGAACGCGACTCTCTACTGGCTGGTGGCCCCGACGCCGGTGGCCCTGACGACTGCTCCACGGTGTTTGCTGCCATGACAGCTTGCTCCAGGGTACGTGGATGCTCACGCATGACCTGTCGCTGGATGTGCGGCACTAGACCCCTGACGAACAGCAGCGCTCTGGTGTGGTGGTCGATTTCCGGCACTTGCAGGCTGAGGCGAGTGAAAGCAGCAATGTATGCGTCCAGCGACCCGCGCTGCGCTGCGGAAATTAGTCCCATACGCGATGTTTCCTCGTTGTGCCGTGGTCCGTACACATCGCCAAGTGCCGCTTTCAGAGCAGGCCAGTCGGAAAACACTTGGTTAGCTTCCAATGCCGCTATCAACCAAAGACGAGCGTTTCCAGTCAAAAATCCTGCCGCGTAGTCGACCCTCTGTGCCGCATTTGGGAGTGCCAACGACCGTAGGGCCATGTCCATTGCAAACGTCCATTCTTTGAATGTAGCGGAATCTCCTCCAAACACAGGCGGCTCTTTCGTAAGGCGGGGTGTTGGCTCCCACGGTTCCGAGTTCGGATGTATCGTTCGGTGTCCTTGGCTAACGCGCTGAGCGGTCTTGATATCGTTTATCAGCCGAACGACGAGTACGAGGAGCGTAAGCAGAGCGACCAGAACACCTGCCAAAAGCAGAGTAGTAACCATCCTCTGCTACCAGTGTAACAGGTTTAATCAAACTTGAAAAGTAAGAGGCCTGGTTGAGCGTGCCTCGACCAGTTATATGCAAAATGTGATAGTATACATGTGGCAATGGCGCCAATGAAGGTGCTAATAGACAGGCGTAAGACGCACGAGGTGCGAGGGAGTGTAAAGTTATAGAGAACAGGGGAAAACTGTTACACATTCCGCCACAGACAACACGAGAAGGACACCCGCCTATCGCAGTACGTCTGGACCAAAAGGATGAAGGGAAGGCATGCAGCATTCAATGGGCGGTACACCGCAGAGCAGCGGCCTACAGCTACAAAAGCAAAAGGTGCAACCTGTGCCTGGCAGAAAAATTGGCTATCGCGCAAGCACCCATGCACCTCTCTCTCAACAAAAGGAGTGAGCTTGTGTCAAAGTGTCGCCATGAGAATAGGTACTGCCTTCGGAACTTTAAACCATCCACAGCCATCACCTAATTAAGTAAGAGACAACCGGCTCCAGTGGTGGTCACCTTTCACCACTGCTGTCATTCACATTTTCACTTTAGGATTTGCCTCATGATGCAGTCATTCACGCTTTGCACTGCCGCCATTTACAACTTTTAGATTTGCGCCATGCTGCAGCTATTTACACTTTGCTTTGTGAGTATATAAACCAATACTGATCCAGATTTCTCATTACTGTTTTCTGATGATCGCTTAGTGCGTGAAACTCGGAGTAAAAACACTTTCTCTGTCCTCCTAGTGTTTGACCTGCATGCAATGGGAATTTTCCAAAATCCTAAAGTCCCCCGGGAACAAGAGTATCTTACGTGATTTGACGTAGATCTGAACATATCTATCCACACTGGTATGGCTCCTCGGTGAGTTCGTCTCCAAACGTAGGAGATAAACAAAACTGCACAGACCACTGCCTGTAACGAGCAGGTTATTACGTAAATCCCTGCATAGAGGCAAAAGCAACAGCACAAATGGCCATTGTCAGCATTTCACGCTACCGCACAAACAGGTCAATGGCATCAAAAACATTCGCATTGCACCTCGTACATATATTTTGTGAGTCAAAGAGAATTGCGTTAAACAGGTTAAAGAGACTGATGCCGTTTTGTCAGTGATGCGTATATAGTTTTCATAGCACTCGTTGTGCGCATCTCATATTTCGTTCCAAATTATACTGCTCGAGAGTATGTTCGGATATGTTGGTACAAACTACCTCAACAAATAATATATTCATAAGAAAGAAGGGACCAATTGAACAACAAGTCACGCTATGCTGTCCACATTGGAACAACAGATGCTTGGCAATCAGCTCATGCCCTGGAATTGCACGACTCTGACTTGCACGACTCTGACTTGTATTGACTGTCTACCAATAGCTGAGTATCAGATGTAGCACGTCTTGGATGCGCATTCCAATAGTATTCCAGCGTGGAAGGTTCATACCTCTGCTAAGACATTCAGCTTGTTCTTGTTTTGGTTGCGTTGACCATCTCTCTATGTTATCACTCTAACTTTGAAGTTTTCAAGTTGGAAGGTTCGAAATTGACAGCAACTGCGGCTTCAACAGCAGCGACGGGAGCAACACAAGCGATGTCAGCAACAACAACAATAGTACTACATCCTATGGCATCAGATCCTATAGCGTTGGAATTTATAGCATTAGACATGGCTAGCATTTTACCGTTCACGCTAACTTCGTCGGTCGGCCTGTACCGTTTTTGTGTGTTTTCAAGACATGGTTAGGTTTTCGGTTTCTAACACACCGATCGACTTGTGACGTAACCCTAGTTGGAATCTTACCGTTTCGTTATCTCGCTAGACAGAGCTTTCTATCGTTGAAACGATACCAAACCGACGGTATCGTGGGTGTTGGGTACGAGTACCAGGCAGGCACAGTGGGTTGGTCAAAGACCATGATTGAGATACGAGAGGTACCTGGTTCAAGTCCTGCGTGGGAGCGGTTTTTCCAGCCGTGCTGCTACCCACAGTCAACTGGGAACTTGTGGCCAGGCACAAGGGGAACAAGGATGCAGCTAATGGGGTCGTTCTCGGCACTTGTGTCAGTGGTTGTGAGACTTATCCACTCACCCCCACAGTTAGGCGCTGCATCTGCCGCTAGGGTTTACCGGGTGTTAGCGGCCGTCGTGAGTTCCCATTGGGAACGGACTTTACCTACTTACCATAGGATTTAGCGTGAACGGTAAAATGCTAACAATATCTATTGTATCTTACCATAAACTGTGTGGGAGAACTTACAGGTGATACAAATTCGGCAAATTGCTAAAAGCCCCAAACTCGATGTGCTTGATTTTGTTTTTGTTGAGGTTTCTGCAAAAAACGAAGTCACAAGAGTCAGTGGGTATGCATGAGAGGTTTGCACGAGAGGTATGCATAAAGTAAACCAATGCCATTCCAGTTCAAATTCCACGTGCGAGTAACGATATGATATGAGAAATCTTAGGATGCTGAGTGCCAACACTATTACTACTTCTCAACATAATCTGCTAATGAACCTACATGTCTGTATGTCTGTATGTCTACCACGTAAGACCAAGCCTGAGATCGGCCACGCTACTATTCTATAGTATATGAAAGATAGGAGTAATATAGATGGCATGAGGAAGATGTACAGTCAGACAAATATCCAGATAGACAGAAATACAGATGGACAGGTAGACAGTTCAGCAAATCAACCATATCCATACTGGCAATGCAGAATGGAGCGTTTGGTACAGGGGCGGATCCAGACCCCAAAGCTGAGGGGTGCGAGGATGAAACTTACATATTTTCTTTTGCAGTAGTAAACCAAAGACATAGTATGTTATGTGTGTTACTGTATAATATCATAATTACACATAGCACCAAGATGTGTAGTATGATTAGTTACACATTGAATGTCAAAATTTACAAGTAATTTACGACTGCTACCGGTATGATTCTCAGTCAGACACGGATTATGCTATGTACATGCTAATCGCCCAATGTCAAAAGGATGATGGCTCTCACAACGACGCTTAGCAGCAGGCTCCATGGTCTCACCAGCTGGTACACCAGCTGTGTCCGACATCTCCGCTCAGCATGCACGGAAACAGAGTCGGAACAAGCAGTGAGAATTTGAAAGAAGCTAACACGACAACTGAAACATGCAACGTCAAAAGTAAAGAACTTCGAAGAGAGTTTGTTGCCGGTGAAAAAGTAATGGTAAGTTCCAAAAAAGTTCTATTCCAAATGTGCAGCCCTGGCGCGTTGACGTGCACAACGAGCAGTTGAGCACGTGTCCAGAACGATCACCTGATTGCACACAAATCATCCGCGGATCTGCGCAGCGAGCCTGGGCCTGGCCTGGCCTGCCTTTTTTTGGGGTTTTTTTTGGAAAAATCCTGACGGGTTCATTTGCACCCTTCACACCCCCCTGGATCCGCCCCTGACCAAACGAGATAAAGGGGGAGAAGAAACAGTGAGAGAGGCAGTCAGACATACAGACAGACAGACAGACAGAAAAGCGAGTAAATGAACTCCAAAACGGATACCGTGAGAGAAATTGAGTGAATAACGGACCATAGTACGCTCTACCCCCTACTTTGTTGGCATAGTAACTCCCAAGGGCATTCATACTCACATTGTTTGGATATTGCTGAGGTTCACGAAAACGCCTGCCGATATAACTTGAAGCAGGTTTCCTGATAGATCTCTGCAGGGTATGAAAGGCCAGAAAATAACCATGCATTGAACAGAATGCAACCGTGCTTTCTAAAATTAAATCACAGTTAATATTTTCTATCCACTGTGACGGCAAAAATCGGTTGGGAAGCAATTATTGGTGACCTGGGAGATAACACACCGCCACCTGATCCCGTTAAGATTTTGGTAGTAGGTACGGAAACGTTGACTCGCCATAACACAGAAGGACAGAACTGAGCGTGGTTTATGCTGGGCTGCTCTTTCTACTGCTAAGATATATTTTTATTGGTTTTAGGTAAGATGGAAACGGGAAAGGTCTGAAGATAAAATTGACTGTAACCATCAGGACTCGAAGCAGGGAAGTTCGCTTGAGGTTAGCAGTGTTCTAACCACTGAGCTATGGTGTAGCTACTGTCATTACAGCACAGACCGCTCAACATTTTCTTCAGACTTAAACACTCACGATTTCTGTACATTTGCAACGCTACTTTGCACGCTCCTTCTTCTCAATCGAAAATATCAGTGCACTCCATGCACAAACTGATTGTTTTTGAAACCTCTAAATCATTGGAGAGCAACTCTGTCTTTAAGAACTCAGATGGTAAGCCAAGGAAAAAATTGTAACATGGAAATCGCGGACACAACTTGTGCCCACAATTTCCATGTTACTTCAAGTACAAACTCTGTCTTTCATCGCAAAAAGAACAGTCTCTATGTCCATTCAAAGGAGACTGTCTGACTTACATTTCTTGGACTTTTGAAATATTTGCGAAACTCCAAGTTTCGAGAATGCTTATTCCAGTGTTCGCCAGCAACCTGAAAATAAAACATTATTCACACAGATTGAATAGCAAATACAACTCTTTAGATGATCACAAACACGCAGGCCTACAGTATCCCAAAGACCAAGGTATAATTATTTGCATTGGACATGCGAAACTCTCCGCTTACGACGAGAAGCTGTTGGCACAATTTTGATATGTCAAGTCAACTTTACATAGTGGAGGAGATTTTAATTCATATCGCCCACAGCCGCACAAAGGCATTGGCTACACAAATTGAAAACCTCTACAATTTTCGCTCCACATATACTGGCACCCCCAGAGACATAGACAGCAACAGCGACAACACACAAAGGGAAGGGTTGTTGGCTGCAGTCAGATGTGACCCGGATAACAAGTGTGGTATGGAAGCAGCAAGGACTGAAAACAGAGTGTCGCAAATAGAAAAGGCATGCCAGGGTATAGCAGAAATAGGCCACGATGCAGAACCACTTGGGACAGTCAGATTTTTTTTCTGGACCGAGCCAGCTGGGGAAAAACCCTCGCGCCGACGGACGCAGTTGTGATGGAACAAAACCGGGTGTATATCCCCAATGGCGATTAGGCATCATGTAGGCATGGTAAGCACATTACGGCAAAACGTGATATATAAAAAAACAATGAAAATATGCACAAAAATGAAGTGTGGGAGGACAGGGACACTGGTGAAACTCAAAACTGACTGAAGAAGTCAGGAAAAGAAGCAACAATAGAAAACACACCAGATGCCATATTTACAACTGAAAATGTTTCGCGAGAAATCATTTCTCGCCTATCTCGCTGCGCTCGGCCGGCGAGAAATACAACATCTCTCCAAAATAGTTTTCAAATTCTTCAAAATTTTCTGCCAGGACATCCTCAGGGGAATGAAGGAGATTGCTGGTTATATCTTACATTACACAGGTAAAAAGCACATGTACCAAGTAAGCCTTAGCATTCGTAAGCCTGTGTGAAGTTTCTGAATCTGATCATGAATACGCCTACTAATCATGTACTAAATGTAGACTCTTCCAACATCAAGCTCTCCTTTCCAACAGGCAAGGCATCTTGACTGATCTAAAGTAGTCACGTGACCGGATGGAATACTTGAAGTACAGGTAGGTAAATGGGGTTCGTTTCTGCCCGATGTACTACGGCATCCCTATGTCATCCGGGTATATCACGTGACGATGGTGCGGCATACCGTATTTAACCTTCCTCACTAGTTACACCTACTTTAAGGATACATTTTTGTTTTACTTGAAAAGCACATAATCACCAGAAAGCTGACAAAGAAAAAAGAGTAAGAAAAGACAGATAAAAAGAGAGCGGAGAGAGATAGAGAGAGTTGGGGTACGGTTTGAGGAGGATAAGACATTGAATGGTGGTCGCCACAGCCACAGATAGTAGCAGTGCTGGTGAGGCTACAGGCACTCCACTGACCAATAGGTCTCAGTATCGCCATGCCGGTAACGAACCAAAAGAAAAAACGGAAGAAACTCTGAAGCGCAATACATGATTAGTGGGCGTGAAACGAGTACTAGTATCTATTTTGACCAATCGATCACTCGTTCATAATATTCGATCGAGTATCCGATTATTTCGAGTATTTTATCAAAATTAAAAACTAGATTTGCGAGTTCTCGTCCACTTCGGAAGAAATTATCTGTGAACATAGAACAAAAGTCGCCAACGTCTTGTACAGAGTGTAAAGTAACGATTTTCATCAGTACTTTCATATCTCAGAACGTTACTTGCGGTGGTGATCCCATCGTCCAAGTCTTAAAATACTGACTCAAAGCCATGCATAACGCATGCATACCAGTAGACCAGCGGTACAACATAAGTTTTTGAAAAATACAATGCCAATATTAAAACAAACAAAAAAACCATCGAGTGCAAAATTTCGAATAGTCGCTCGTTTTAAATTTTCGAACGAATACTCGAATATTCGAACTAATCGTTTCACCCCTAAAATTTATTTTGTGATAAGTAATAACAATTAAAGTAATAGGGCGAGTGGCGACCAAGAGAGGACAGTAAAGACCGGTAGTATGGGGTGCTTCAATGCAAATCCCCAAACCAAGAGGTGCTATGTGGAAAGAACAGTCAGACGATCAACATGATGGCTTCAAAGCACGTCCCAGGACCATGGCTGGTCTGACATGTGTTTGTTGACGAGCAGTGAGTGGCGAGTGGTTGGCCAGACGGGGAACGACGCCCTCACGGAGGCTGTTCCACAATTCAAGGAAACTGTTGCGAAACCACAAGTTCTTAAGAGAGCATATCTGAGAAACCAGAAAAGCAGGGCTGGGCCATCTCTCCGATTTCGCTCAAATTTTGCAAGTAGGTTTCCTTTGGGGTCTACAACAACAATGCAAAAGGACTCGTTTCATAACTGACGGACACCTTGGAACTGGGGACCACCTCGAAATGGGCACAAAATACGATTAAATATTGGGTCCAAAACGAGCGCTGGTACAGCGTACACGATTGAGCTGAGAACAAACCACTATCATGCAAACATCACCCCACCTGAGTAGTCTTCACATCACCACCACATAGAGCCATGGCTAAATCCAGGAAAGCAATGGCCATCATCTCCAAATATCACTAAATTCCATTGCTAAAATAGCCAAATTTCAAGGACCATAGCAGGAACCATTTACGGCGTCCATTTTTCTGAACCATGCACTGCAGCACAGTGGACTATCTATACTACCACCCAGGACATGTCTCGTAAAAAGTGTTCCAAATTTTCTGGGAATATACAAATTTGAATATTTTCACTTCACCACATTGCAACATTGCCAATTTCCTACACCGCGAAGGAAAGCGCCTTCTCAAGCTCCAACACCAGGCACGGCTCCAGACGCCAGCATGCCAAACACTGTAGCGTGGTCACCTCTACCGAGTCTGACAAGAAATTTGAACTGACAACCCTTGTCACTCCAAACAACAACCATTTCCTTCCCTGAACGACTCGAATTTCACTAGCAGCAAAGCTTTGCAGAAGTGCAAAAAAATTGAACAAATCTCGATTTGTGCGATCGAAGCACGATATTTTGCGTCCTGAAACTGGCCGTGCGCGGACTACCGCGTTACATTGCAGATCGACGGATTTGATCGAGTTGATCGCAAATCAAGATCAGAATCAAATCTAGACGATCACGTTGATCAGCAACATGCTTTTAACGATGCTACGATGTATGATGGCATGCTGCTTGAGTGAACCATGAAGATACACGATGCCCTGGACTTCACGATATGGAATCTAGCTGCAACCTGTTTACCAGGGAACTCATTCGACATTTCGGCCACGTAGTCGCCACAGGTTTGAGCACGTGCTTTTCAGGTGCACTCCGGAGAGATCGACCTTTTGGGTACAGAAATGCATCAATGGCTATTTCGTGTGTCTGGTAACTTGGTCGTGTGTTTCGTGCATTTTTTGAGGATGCCAACAGTAATGTTGTGTAGCGCCCATGGATACCATCTGTTGCCGGAGCGACATAGCTCAGTTCTATCGACATAATGTCTCCATTCCCACCTGATCTATATTCCTGCAACTAGATAACGTGATGGGCTCAATACATTATTGGTGTTTTGAGTATAGTCCTAGAAATCGAATTTTCATTACGAGCTGAATTTCACAATATCCTCCTTGCCAGGTCGATGAAGTCGCGCTGAGACCAAACTCTGCGTGGTCAACCAGCCCTGCATTGTCACTGATAAGAGTGTCGACCTTTTAGAGACAAATAGTTGCTCGACAAGAAAATTACAACAAGCAGACTTACGCTCGCTCCTCACCGAACCTGAGGAAAACCCACACCTCGCTGCGTGCTGCGAACTCCGGCAACTCGGGTAAATGTACGCTAAAATAGTGTTGCTGATCAGCCTTCGTCATCCAGATTTTGATTCTTTTTTCAAATTTTTTATTATAAGTCTGATTCCCACCTTCCAACCCGGCAAATATTTAGATTTTGATAAAAACGATTCAAAGCCTCTCAATTATTTTGTAATACTTGAAGTATAGATATAAGAATAAGAATAATAATAGTTATACTTTCACACAAAACAAGCTCGGTGCAGCACTAATCACGGCAGGGGAACCCGACCCTCCACCATCGCCAACTCACGAAGCATGTGAACTGGACGGCAGATTTTGATTCTGATCTTGTTTGTCGATCAACTCGATCAAATCCGTCGATGCTGCTAGTGACATTCGAGTCGTTCAGGGAAGGAAATGGTTGTTGTTTGGAGTGACAAGGGTTGTCAATTCAAATCTCTTGTCAGACTCAGTATAGGTGACCACGCTGCAGTGTTCGGCGTGCTGGCGTCTGGAGCGGTGCCTGGTGTTGGAGCTTGAGGAGGCGCTTTCCGTCATGGGGGTAGAAAATTGGCAGTGAAGCAATGTGGTGAAGTGAAAATATGCAAATTTGTTTATTCCCAGAAAATGTGGAACACCTTTCACGAGACATGGCCTGGGTGGTAGTGGAGGTAGTCCACTGTACTGCAGTGCATGGTTCAGAAAAATAGACGTCGTAAATGGTTCCCGCCATGGCCCTTGAAATTTGGTTATTTTAGCGATGGAATTTAGTGATATTTGGAGATGATGGCCATTGCTTTCCTGGATGAAGCCATGGCTCTATGTGGTGGTGATGTGAAGACTACTCAGATGAGGTGATGTTTGCATGATAGTGGTTTGTTCTCAGTTCAATCGTGTACGCTGTACCAGCGCTCGTTTTTGGACCCAATATTCAGTCGTATTTTGTGCCCATTTCGAGGCGGTCCCCAGTTCCCAGGTGTCAGTCAGTTATGAAACGAGTCCTTTTGCATGGTTGTTGTTGACCCCAAAGGAGACTTACTTGCAAAATTTGAGCGAAATCGGAGAGATTGTCCATCCCAGGTTTTCTGGGTTTCCCAGACATGCTCTCTTAACCCTAGGACGGCCGCCACTTTCAGTACTCCTAGAACGGCCAAACGGTGTCATTTGACACCTGCATACATTTCCATGTCTAAGACCTATGATGTAGGTTATTATAGTTTTTGTTTTCAGTGCTGGCTATCACTAGCGGCATTTGTGATGTACACAACACATTGGGATCCACCAAGACACCATTTTTTGGCTATACGCAAAGTACAATGTACGCGTAACGGCAATCGCGAAGGATGAACTCAATTACTGGCAAAACTTCAATTACTTGCAAAGGAATTTCGTATAATCACGGAGTTACAATAACAAGCAATGTGTCAACGTCACTTTGCATACGAGGAACTGTTTTTTTTTGGAATATGTGCTTTGGCCTAGTCGGATTATTCGACCGTCACGATGAATGACACACAGTGACAAGTAACGGTTACAAACATGGACTGACTATGAGCATCATTCTTCCACCAAGCTGATACATATGCTGCTAGACATGGCTGCAAGATTAGGCTAGTAACGACTGCATTTTACACTCTTTCAAAGAGGTGTACCCTTCTCTTCTCCTTGGCTGCCACTTAGCAACCAGATGCCATGATTATCTCCAAGCTTATTGACCAGTGCAGGAATGAGCGTTGTCTGGATATGCATGAATTAGCAAAAATACTCAAATTTCGAAAAAGCCAAAAAGTACTGTGCTAGTGATTTCAACCCTGCCGAAGAGGCGTGTGGTAAGTCTCTACCTACTACAACTAATTACTAATATCTACCTAACTATCCCTCTCAAGAATCTGATCGGCCTGCTGCCAGCTGGCTACTACACAGCATGCTAAAGCTACGGAGCTCAAAAAAGCTAACTCTGCTACCTCTGACTAACGTTTATATGTCTTAATACCATGTTCAGTATACACGTATATATACTCACAAGAACGTTGTGTTTCTTGGCAGGTTTGTAGGCAAGTAGACCAGAGGCTGATTCTGACAGTCTATGGACGTTGCGTTGCAAGAACACGTAAGCGGACAGCTGTGTACGTTCAGCACTGACAAGGCCATGACTAGAATGAGAAGACTGTAGGTACAGAAACCCGCTGCAGACTGAGACAGGCCATGACTAGAATGAGAAGACTGTAGGTACAGAAACCCGCTGCAGACTGAGACAGGCAATGACTAGAATGAGAAGACTGTAGGTACAGAAGCCTGCTGCAGACTGAGACAGGCAATGAACAGAGCAAGAATGGAGATTATAGTTTTGATTACTTCAAGTAAAAGAATGTAATGGATGTGATCAGACATGTTTCGAAGTACATGTAGAGATCTTTCCCTTCTTCGGCCAATTCCAGGTCAGCTTCTTACCTATGTATAAAAGTTCCTCAACTCCAGTAGCTGTGTCTTTCTTATGAATTGATTTCAATTATGTAGCTATCCGTCAGAAAGCTTGCTAACCATAGACATCAATGAAGAATATAAACATAGGCTCGGATGGAGAGCCAAGGATATCTTCATAGAAAAGAAAAGGATCAAGGAACTACCAGGTAAGCTACAATGTCCACTGACACGACCAGTTACTTGACAGTCAGCTCAGATGATAACATTGCACGACACTGACCAGCGGCATTGACGTTCTAAAACCAGCTCTAGAACATCTTGGAAGTGCAGTTAGCGCACTCCAACAAATTTCCAAATGCCAGGATCGTCATCGATATGCATGTACATCCACCACCGAGATCAATGATAGCTACGACTACTTTCAGCTTGTGCTTGTCTTGGTTGAGCGCACGTTCCCCTCTTTTGTTATTCCTATAACTTACAACGTTTCAAGTGGGAAGAGTGCGCATCCAAGATGTAGCTAGGTGGTTAGTTGTAGAAGGTCAGTACCGTCGATCAGTGTCTTGCATTGCTATTGCATAAGCTTATTGTCAAGTACGAGTGTGTGTATGTGTGTCTGTGTGTGTGTGTGTGTGTGTTTGTGTGTGTGTCTGTCTGTGTGTGTGATTGTGTTTGTAAAATAGTTTGAACGCATGTTTGTGATGTGAATATGTGTGCAAATTCGTTGCGTGTGTTTCCTATGCTTACATTGGTTTCCAATGAGAGTACATCTTCTATCAGTTCTGCTCTAATCCACGTTACGCAATGCAGTGTCTGCGTTTAGTTGATTTTTATACCTTTCTTACCTGTTTCATGATATGCATCTTTTCCACCGTTTCGTTGTGCACCCTCGGACCAGTGATCCCGCCACAACAGAGACAGACTGGGAATGAAGCGTAGAGTAGCTTGGAACGCCACGGACAGAACAGGCAATAACAAAAAGCCGAACCTCTCACTGCCGCTTTTCCTGAAGCCATTCATTTCCAATGAAACAGGCATGGAGAGCCAAGCATCACTCGCAAATCAGACAGGGCATGTAGCCTCTTTGCACCTCAGCAAACATTTGACAACTAACTGACCATACAAACTATGTATGTAAGACCACCTGTCAGTCTGAAGTACTGTATTGTAGCGGTAATATCAATACATGTAAAAGTGTTCATATTGGTTCTTTTCTCTTGAACCACGATCATGATCTGCCCGCAGCTTTTGGATGGTCTCTATTATACTATTTCAAATCACAGCACCGATGGCAGAAGTCCAAAAACGAAGAAAAATCCAAGCAACCGGCTAGTTCAGATCCTCTCTCATTTTCAAATAACATTTGGGCCATCACAGGTTCGGAAGCTGTGCAGGTGTGCAAGAGCCTGTACTGGGGATCTACCCAAGTTGTACATTGTACAAATCATGATGTGTCTTTTCCGTATTGAATATTGTCTTTGGGAGACGGGGGGACTGGGGGACGGACTCCCATGTAATATCCTACAACCTGTGCTCTCTCTCATTTGCCCCGGTTCCGATTATGTATCATTATTTTGTTTGCGAGGTTAACGAGGTCCTTTCTGTGAGCGGCTTGTTCGGCATACAGCGTCCCCTGAGCTGCTTGTTGCCGAGGCCTAGGTTGCTCGCATGTGAGAACTAAATAACCGCAGGTCATTTTTATACTAAATACTGAGCGTGGATACTGGATGACTTTACTCTTATAATTATTGGACAGGCTATATTTATAGTAGTATATTTATAGGCTTTCTTCTTGTCTCCTGTTGTTCGGTATTTTCCACAATATTTTGAAGCATTTTATTAAAAAGGAAACGATTTCAGAATATTCATCTTGATCGTTCTTTATCGTTCATCATAATTGTTGTGATTTGTAGACAAATCAAGTGCGGATCCAGATGGGTCATTTCGTATTGTGGTAAACATAATGCGAAACGAGTGTTAATGCGCAACGTGCATCAGTGCGCACTGCAGTCTGGTAAGTGTTTGCTGTCAAAGCCGCGTGCTCTCTGCCTTTATCACGCCATCCAGACATTCCACTACACTATGGACAGCGCCTTATTGTTGAGAATCATGTTTTTCCAAGTTACGCATGGGTTACTTGAAAGGGTGCAGATAGCAACGCGCCAGTCAACTATAACGACAGCACCAGCTGAGCTAAAAGTGAATGCAAACCAGCTGCCAGCTGAAAGCAATAATAATGTGTCTGCTGGCCTTTTGGAAGCTGCAACTGGCGCAGGCCAGTATTTTCCACTTTGTGCATGATGCGAAAGTATCGGAAAAATCATTGCGCGGCGAAGCTAGGTTGCAACATTCTCTAGCCGCATCCTAGTGGCTCGGCCTTGCTCGGTATATATACACGTACATGGCGCACATCACAGCATTGCGATGAGGATACTGGAGACTCCGAGCGGCTATATGGCATGCAGTTGACGTGTTACAATACAAGCCCCGCGAGAAATGTCACCTGTCACCTGTCAAGTGCTCCAGCTGCGTTCCATGACAGTCTCTCATGCCATTGCCGACTTCATTACAGGCTTCCCAGCCTGAAAACCCCTTAGCAATGCTACATATTTCTGAGTTGTTACGATTCGACTCGTTGTTCTAACCTGCTATGTCGCAACTGAGTAAGCATTGATTACGTCGCAAAGTGAGGGGTGCGCTCGGAGCCCCGGAACTTGCGGGAGCTAGGAGAACAGTGTCGTGTAAAGTCCTGATCTCTGACTATAACTTATAAGTCGAAGTCTAGTATTTTTCCCAAATGTGTATTTTGAATAGGTCAGTGTCTTAGTTCGCGAGGAACGTAAAACATCTCCCCCCCCCCCCCTCCCATCCCATATGAACCTTAGGCCGCGGTCACACAAAACAAGCCGTTTTCAGCTTTCGCTGAATGAAGCGGTTGGTCACATCAACCCATGTGATCCGCGGATTTTTTGTGCGTGCTGTAGAGGTTTTTTTCTTTGCTTCCAATTTTGAATTTAATTCTTTTTAATTTTTAAATTAATTTGTGTTGAACATCTTCATGGCAATTAACAGAGTTATGATACTGTACTATACTGAGACCTTCATTGGAATCAGGGTGCCTGTTTGAAAGATTGAGGAAGGTTTGACGTTGTAGTGCAGCCATGGATCCTGAAACTAGACTCTGAGCCGTTGTCTGCATCTTGCTCGTCACCGATATCATGGTACGCATGCTTCTATCCCACAATAGTCTCCCTTGTCTGACGCAGCCGAACCAAATCGTACCTCGCAGAAAGCGCACAAGGAAAGATGAGGACAATACCAGACAACAGGCAATGAGAGAAATTGGACCAACAACGAAACAAATAGCGAAGGCTGGCATACATGTATATCAGAACACGATGCATCCATGGCAAGATGTGCTTTGGATTTGCACGATTTTGGTTTTCCCGCCACTGCGCCAGGTTGGCTGAAAGTGGCTGAATTCATTCAGATCTCCATTCTGCGCTTTATTTATTTTATTTATTTATTTCACCTTCCCGTGGCCAGAGAATATAGGCCAATATGGAGGGAGGGGGGCGGTAGCCAGCCATGGCATTGAAAACGGCTGACTGCTGAAAAAGCCTGAAGTCGAAAATTCAGCCGTTTCTGTAGCAACGATGACGTCAAAAAGGGCTTTTCCGCTGAATGGCTGAATTGTGCTTTGTGTGACCGCGGGCTTACCTGATCACATTTGCATCGACATATTATTTTTATAAACCTTTTTTTTTTAAACTTAGGTTATCCAAAACGCAGGGAAAAGAGTTATGGTCTATTATGTCGGCAATGGACAATATAACATACGTAATCTTAAGTTACCGGAGGATGTACCCAAGTTGCTGCCAGTGCTCAACACCGCGGAGACAGAGCGTAATAGATAACAACAAGGACAATCAAGGCTTGTTTTCAAGTTTCATACTCTCACAATCAACAGACAGGTTGCTTCATGATTGCGATAGCGTGAAACTTGAAGTAGTAGCAGCAAAATAGCCTTGATTGTCCTTGTTGTTCTGTAATCCTAAGTTACTACTGGTGAGTCAACTTTGGCCATCATCCCAGACACGACGGAACACGGAAACGGTGGAGAGGAAACTAACACAACGTTACGACATGAGTCATAATGCTATTATCAATATTTCATTCTTTGGAGAATGAAGTTGAAGCCACCACTGCAGCTGTGCTTATGGTTGATTAAAATGGTGGTAAAGACATACATTACACTATGGCAGTTGATACGCGTTCTCCAGGCTGTAAAGTTCGGGCACAGAGCTTTCATTCTCACTACCACTACCGCCAGGGGACGAAACGTACGTCGCAATCGAGGTATGTTGTTGCTGTGTCATCGTCTATGTGTCGTGAAATTGTGCTACCTGATGTACCAACCTTCTATGTCGGATACCACCAGCCATACATCGACTGAGAAGAAGAGCTCTGTGCCAGACCTTAGCAACCTAGAGAGCGTGTGTGTGGGCAGGTGAGTAGTACCGTCATATTGCCAGGTGTGGCTTTATCATCTAATCATTGATGTTTTATCCTTGCTCAGTACGCGGCTAAGAAAAAGTTTCATAATCCGCTCACCATTCCGGAATGCCATTCTTTGCGAATACTGCATCGTATTATATTATTATACTTTTTACAACATCTCAAGACTCGGTGGAAACACAGGCCAATGCTCAGAGAGTGTGTGATTGCCTACCACGGCGGAAAATAAA